CTATATGAGAAGTTTTCAGAGCTGGACGATGGTGATGGTTGTACAACAATATGACTGCACTAACATCACTGAATCATACACGTAAAATGGCTAAAATGCCAACATTATGCTGCATTCTTCAGCTTTAAAAAAATGCATAAAGATAAAACGCATTCAATTCCCTAAAAATAAGAAAGGAGCAGAGGAGTTGTCCGTAGTGCCACAGCAAAGCTAAATAAACACCAGAGTAGATTTCATCTTTCCTCTAGCAGGTGGAAAGCAGAGAAACAATGTTTCCATAGGCTAGCTGGTGATTCATACCTTTTTACACACGTTACCATTCCCATTTCACCCATCTTTATATAAATATCAGCACCTTCTGGTTTGGGAAATCAACTGCCTGGGAAAAGGAGCAGCAAGACAAAGGAATAGGGGTAGGCAGGCAAGCTTGACCAGCTGAGGACAGCAGGGACATCAGAGGCAAGGCAGACTTCACAAGGACCCTCCTATCCAGCTGTCTTCCCACACACGTCCTCCCTGAACCTCATCCCTTTACAGAGGAGAACAACGAAGATATGATAACACTAAGATTTCACAGAGGCATAAAGGAGATCTGCTTTAAGAAGCCACGCATAGCCAAAGAATAAGAGAGGGTCCCAAACAAAGACCTCATCAATAGCTGCCCTCCAACATGGACCTCAACCTCCCCACCTCGGCTGACCCCGGCTGACCTCAGGTACTCAGCTGTCTTTCCAGCTGGCTGGACAGAGATGCAGAGGGACAGAGATGCAGAGGGACAACCACAGGGGGAGAGAGCTTATTTTTCAATCCAAGTAACTTTCTTCCCCACACTCTGGGTGAGAGGAGGGGAGATGCACCTCCATCAATCTTCCAAAACACGAGATAACAGACGCTCGTGATCTGAAGACAACACTTGGAAAACCAGTCCTCAAAGAAGGAAAAAAAAATCTGGGGGTGCCATCTGGAAAGCATGATGTTGATGTAGAGGCAAGGTCATGGATTTGAAGGGCAGGAGTTGCCTGTCAGCAGAGGCATGATTATTAAGTACCAGGGATAACATAGTAAAGAGGAAGACACAGCATCAACACAAGAAACCATCTCTGAGCTAGAAGGCATCACCATGTCACAGAAAGGGAAAATGATGCCCGAGTGCAAACAAACAGCCAGTGGCAGGGCTGAGCTTCAAGCTCCCTGCTCGGCTTCTTCGTTCCATGTCCTGATCCCTGGTTCCCAGCCGGGCATCCTTGTCTACCTCCCACGCCTCCTAGCTGGCTAGGACTGCCATTTGGATGGCATGCTTCACCCCATTTCCAGGGGTGCCCCAGAGGTAAAACACACTGGGACCACACATGAGTGAAAACAATCATCTGGGCTTATGTAGCCATGGCAACTCCAGTGATCTCCAGTTTGGGACCCCCACAAGAAAATCTGCTTGGGCACAAAAGTAAAGAGATGTTTTGTTTTCTTTATTCCTCAGAATAAATTATCGTAAGCATGATTTAAAACGTTTCAACAGATGTGTATCATATATAAGTGAATATTTTAATATATGCACTGGCAGAGGAGAATCTAAAAATATGCTCATATGGTTTTGGACCAGAAAGTTGAGAAGCATTGCTCTAGAACAGCACTGCTCTCTTAGATCGCACTCCTTCTGTCAACAGGTTTTGTGAGCATAAAAAATTCAGCCTCACGCTATATACTCCCACCCATCTGTCCACTAACACTGGATTTCCAACACGGAGAGAACACAGGAAGCTACTGAGGACCCTAGACAACTCACCAAGACACCAGAAACTGCCATGCCAGTGATTCACAGAGCTACTAAAGTCTAGCTATTGCCATCATGCTTGGGAAAAACACACTTTTTTTTTTAAAATCATGACACAACTTCTAATTTAAAAATCAAGCATGTACTGGCATTAGAAGAAAAAAGATTTCAATAAGGTGGGAAGGGGAATCCTTTGGGAAGGGCTCAGCACAGAAGCCTAGAGGCTAAAGTCCTACTTTGCACATGCCAGGATCCCATACGAGCAATGGTTCTAATTCTGGCGGCCCTGTTTCCCATCCAGCTCCCTGCTTGAGCTTTGGGAAAAGCAGCTAAGCTGTGTAATGGAGACTATCATATCCAGATGTGAGGATACAATGCAGTATGCATCTCTACTTCCAGATCAAAGATGGATTCCTAATGAAACTGCTAACTATATCTTGACAATAGAATGCTGGACCCTAACAAATTTAAAGGAGCAGAAATCATAAATATGTGATTTCAGATTAAGAAGGTAACTTCACAAAGATTAAAAACAACAACAACAAAATCCCCCAACATTGTAGGGATGAGACAAAGCATTTCTAAATAACACATCAGTCAAAGAAGAAATGTCAAGGGAAATTCTAAGAGCATTTTGTTTATGCAAATGAAAATTCCAACTTACTGTACTTATGGGACTCAAAGTAATACTTGAAAAGAAACAACATGGACAACATTTAGTTGAAAACAAGAGCTAAAATTAACATTAACAATATAAGCCACTGCCTTAAGAAATTAGAAAATTGGACAATCATATTTAAAGTAAAGTAGCTCATAATAACAAGAATTAGCACAGAATCAGTGTTAATGAAAACAGGAAACCAACAGAGAGAATCAACAAAAACAAAAATTAACTCTTTTTGAAAAGATAAATAAAACTGGGATTCCTCTAGCCAGACTACATAAAGAGAAAAGTCACTTCTTGTTAGCATGAGTCATGAAAGAAGGAACATAGATCCAAAGGCACTAAAATGTTAATAAAGGATTAATATGAATAACTGTCCCCACAAATTCAATACGCTAGATTATTCTGTCAAAACACACACAGGAAGAAACATTGGAATAGGCCTGTGCCTATTGATGAAATTGAACAAAAATTAATATGCTTCTCCAACATTGGCCCAGATGTAATCAGTGGTATATTCCTCCAAACATTTAAATAGGAAGTGATACCAACACTATATCATACAGAAGGAGAGGGAACACTTCATGACTCATTCTGTGTGAGAAATTTCACCCTAATGTCAAAAATCAAAGACATACCAATAAAATAAAATAGGCAAACATCTCTTGCAAACACATATAAAAATTCTTTACAAAATACTAGCAAGACAAATCTAACAATATATTAAAAAGTTACATATGATGCTGGCATTCCCATACAGGAACCAGTTTGTGTCTGGACTGCCACACTTCCAATCCAGCTACCAATTCATACTCCTGGGAAAGCAGGAGAGAATGGCCCACATACTTCCGCCCCTGCACCTATGTGGACAATCCTGATGAAGTCCCTGGTTCCTGAAGATGACACTATCAAGAAAATGAAGAGAGAAGCTGCAGACAGGGAGAAGATGGTTGCAAAAGGGTTGTTATCTTGAATATAAGAGAATACTAAAATTAATAAATAGCCTACTTTTAAAAAGAACCAAAGACTCAAATATCTCACACAAGAAGGTACAAAGAAGACAAGGAAGAGTAACAAAAGATGCTCCTTGTCACATCACTGGGGAACTGCAAAGTAAAATGGCAGCCAAGCATCACTATACACCTGTTCAGGTGGTGAAAATCCAGAATACTGACAACACCAACCCTAGAGAGGCTCTGCAACAACAGAACTCTCAATGCATTGCGGTTGGCAATGCAAAATGGCACAGCCGCTGTGGAAGTGTCTGATAGTCTCTGACAAAGCATGTCCAGCAGTCATGGTCTGTGTGGTTTACAGAAATGAATCGAAACCGACATGCACACAAGAACCTGCTAGCAGATATTTAGAGCAGCTTTATTCATAACTGCCAAAAACTGGAAAACAATCAAGATGTCCTTCAGTAGGTAAATGGATAAAAACTGGGATACAGTTAGACAATGGCATATAGTTCAACACTAAAAAGAAATTGAGTTTTCAAGCCATGGAAGAGACAGGGGAACCTTAAATGAATATTACCGACTGAAAGGAGTTCATCTGAAAGGCTATGTAATTCACTGTAGGACTTGCAACCAGGTAAAGGACAAGGACAAGTGGCTGCCAGGGTTAGGGAGGAGAATGGGAGCAACAGAAGCAGCAGAATAGACTTCAGCTACACTATAATGACAGATACATGTAATGCACTTGTCAAAAGCCACAGAACATGGGCCTAGCATGATAGCCTAACGGCTAAATCCTTGCCTCGCAAGTGCTGGGACCCCATACGGCACCAGTTTGTGTTCTGGCTGCTCTGCTTTCCATCCAGCTCCCTGCTTGTGGCCTGGGAAAGCAGTGGAGGATGGCCTTGGGACCCTGTACCTACATGGGAGACCAAGTTCAGCTCCATCTGTTGGAGCCACTTGGGGATCGAATCAGTGGATAAAGATCTTTACCTCTGTATCTTCTTCTCTGTGTATCTGCTTTTCCAGTTAAAACAAAAAGATCTTTAAAAAAAAATCAACAGAACATACAATACCTAAACCAAGAGTTAACTCTAATTTAAACTACAGACTGGTGATGGCAACATGTCAGTTTGTGCAGATTCTAACACACATACCATTCTGGTTCAAGACACAGACTGAGGGGAAGGGTATACCTGTGTGTGTGTGTGTGTGGCGGGGGGGAGCGGGAAGAGGATATACTGGCACTCTGGATCTTCCCTACAGTTTTGCTATGAAGCCCAAACTACTGCAACAAAATAAAATATATAAACAAAATTAAGCCTATTAAAATCTCATCAACCAGTGCATGCCATTCTGTATTTTCTATGTCATCCTATTTTCTTTCTCTTTCAACAAATTTTCAGCTTCCCCACTCGACTTCTAATTTTCCCCTCCACTAACGTGCCTCCCAGAAGTCAGTCGATTAGTGCTCTAAGAGGAATTTCCAGCTGGCTTCTGAAATCCATTCTCTACAGACAGGCTGCTTGTTCCAAGCCCCACGTTCAATTTACTCAAGATTATGTGTGCAAAGCAACATGACTTCCTGGCCCCTAGGCCATAGCAGTACCTGGAGGAAGGGTCTCCATGCTTTGTGCTTTCTCATCTCCATTGCTGTGATGAAGGTCTTTCTTTTTAAGGGGGTCGATCTCATTCCAGTCCTCCTAGGGGGAACAGAGACACCAAATGAGCTGATTGGTTCTTCAAGCACATCTTCACCAGGTCAATACATGCAAAATTGTATGATGCCAGTTGGCCTTGGGGGAGAAATGATGAATGAGACAGTCTCTTAAGCACCCTACTCCTACCTGAGAACTTGTTACAGGGTCAAGATGAAAGGGAAGGGGGAATAAATGTGGGAATAACAGTTTCTCAGTAAATGTCTGCATTTCCCTCTTCATCTTCTATCTCTATTGCACACTGATTGGAAGGAAGCACAGTGCTCCAAAAACTCCCAGAGCTCTGAGGCTAAAGAAGTTGGGCAGGGAAAGTGGATTAAATAAAGTATTCCAATAGTAGTTAAGCCACCAAAATGAAGGTAGCACCCTGGACATCCCAGAGGACTACAACAGAACTATAAAGTCAAGATTTAGTGTGAAACCAAAGTAAAGATATCAACTGTAGCAGAATTTATTCATTTCATTCGGGTAAATAATTTACTCCAATGCATCAAACATTATATCAAACGAAACAACAATTCCATGGCCATGGAGCTACACAAAATATTTCTGATCTCTTGGAGACCAGTTTCTGTGAATGGAATAAGAAATATTTTTGCACAGAACCCAAATCAGAAATAATATTCCACGGTTAGTCATTTCCCCACCATACTTTTGAGAACCAACAGATGTCAACTGATCATCCCCTTAGCAGATGCTGTGGGGATGATGTGTGGTGGTAATCCCTCCCTGGAGGGCACCCAACCCACGTTCCATGGGTTTACGCAACCAGCACCCCTGAGCACCAGCACAGATTCTGTATTGTGTAAAGCTGAGCATAGGCGATATTTTGGCTCTTTAAGATGCCAAATGAGATCTAGAAGGGTAACCCTCGGCAAAATAATATCCCTTCCCCCTCCCAAAACATACAACTCACTGTGCCAATAATCTGCATATTTAACTCACTAGGGACATTACACAGAAACTGTGCCTGAGTCTCCTTCCTGTCTCATCCTTTCCTGTTTTCACCACCTCTGCAATGAAGCAGCACAGCCTGGCCTGTCACATTAACGCTACTAGGCAAACAGCAGGTGCGTGATGGGCTGGTAAGAGAGACCATTCTGTGTCTTGTTGGGGAGGGGAAGAGGGGTCCTCAGCAACATCCACCTAGCACAGGATGTTTCTTGGCTTGTTAGGCACCCAGTTCCCTTTGGATGGCTCTGTCTCACGTTGTAATGAAGCTAATAAAATGCATCCTGAGCACAATGTAATTACCTTTTGCTCAAAAAGCTTCAGAAAACATAATTATCATTTAAGACCATCTTTTGAGATTATTATGGTTGCCAACAAGCTTTCAATTGTCCATTGGCAACGTGGTTTGGCAACCGTGGCAAACGTATGCCAGTAACGGAATCTGACCCACCGATAGACTTTACCATGCAAGGAAATACGTGAGAACACTAAATCAGCATGTAATGGAGCTACCAGAGTCACACTGCATAGACTTTTAATTAAGCATTAATTGTTATTTTGTAGCCTATTTAATAGCATCTGGTGGCTAATAATTCCCAAACCAATCCCCCACAGGCAATTGGCCTCTTACACTCACTGGCTAATAGGTCAAACCATTTAAACACATACTTGAATAAAACCAAAAGCACATGTTGCTACTGGGGCCTGCTACTCCAGTCTTGTTTTCCATGTTAGAATAAAGTCATTATAGCACTCACCAAATCAACATTTCTCTGGGTTCAGTCAAGCATGTACAAAAAATAAACCTTGTACAAAAAATAAACATTTACTTCTTCCTTTAAGCAAGATTAATTACTCATAAGTAATGTTCCCTCAACCCCTTTGCCTCTCCCCATCAACTGTGCCACAGGTAAAACCAAGGTGTGAAGTAAGGTCATGTCCACATAACCAGGGCATGCCAAAGGATCCAGCAAGTGAAGCAAAGTTGTATCAATTATGAGTGCACCAAGCATGACACCTACATGCTTTCTCACCCCTGCAGAGACTGTGGCACTGTGTGATTCCTGTCTCATGATGAGGGTGTCTAGTATTAGTGAGACTGAGTCATCTCTTCAGGTTACACAGTTGGTTGGAAGCTAAAGCTGATGGGAATAACAGCCTAAGGCTCAATGTAAACCAAGTTATGAAAACCTGAAGCCTCAGACCATCCCAGAAATCCAACAGAACCTTTCTAGGTTATCATAAAGTTATCATATTAACTACCTATTTTCAGAAAGGAAGAGGGAATGGTAGCTGTCACAGAGCACTCATGAGGTACCACACCCCTACCTGAACAACACATCCCCGGTCTGTTTCCTGCTGCTTAATTATTATCTTCATTTCACAGAAAAGGAAGCTGAGCTACCAAAAGTGGAAGGCTGCGCAGGGAGTAGCAGGAAGATACAGGCCGTGAGGCATGTTGGGAAGAACCTTGGCCTTGAAACTGGAATCTCAGGGTTCCAACCATAGCCTTGTCCATAGTTATGCAGTACAATCACCTAACTTCAAAACTTTGGGGAGGAGCTCAGGCCCTTGCTGGTCCCACAATCTTAGGGTGCAGGTGCATTCTGGTAGTACTGGATCTCTCACATCATCCTTTTACAAAGGTCTGGGGTCCAAAAGGACTCCCCAGGCTTGGAGAGTGCCAAAAGTATCTTTCTTTGGAATCTCCACAATGCCAAGAGCAGTTGGTAGCATGGTGGTTGCTCAAACACAAACACTGCTGAAAGAAAACGTCTCACCCTACTCACGCAGATGGAGTTCATGCACGCATGCTGGGTGCAGGCTTCTCATTCCAGCTCCTTCTTGTACATTTTACACTCATGGGAAGACTCGTTCATACCAGTGGTGGCCCCGTTCAGAAATGGAACTGTACCACAGGCAGGTGCCTGAGGAAGGGGTTCTCCTACCACACGTGCCCACTGCTGGCCAGGCTGTGAATCAATCTGTGTGCTTTCCTCACGTTAGAAGTGGAGAATGACACAGTGATAGACGGGTCTTCTTTTTGCCAACTGGGGAGATTAGAGGAGCAACCATGTGGCTTAGGCTGGGTGAGGATCACATGAAACCTGTAATCCTGCAAGCCTGCTTTGATTTCCCAGGATGCAGCCTGCCTCTGCTCTGTGGTTCCCGCCCTCCACAGAGGAATGCCTAGCACCTAACCTGAAGACCAACAACACTGCAGAACAAAATGGGCAAGGGAGAGGGCTGTGGGGGTGGGTTCTGACTGAAAATTGGATCCCTGGCACGGAAATTTCACTGTGGGTTCAGGAATCCCTGCCAATCAAACCATGGGACACTGAGCATGACTTTACCACACAACAGTGTACCAGAGTGCTGGATGGTCCTAAGCCAGGAACCAGAGGCTTTTCTCTCTCTTTGTAAAAGGCTTTTGGACCAGACAGTAAAGCATGACTTCTCATCCACCTTACTAATCCACTCGAGCTGGTAGTTTCAATGTTAGATACCTGAATTTGGTGAGTTTCTTCAGCCTGAGAGCCACAACTGCTCGTGTCATTCTTACCACTTATATACAACAGCAGCACTTTGTCTCTGCACCTGAAGCAACACTGCGACTGGACCAGGTCATGAGCAACGTCAGATGGAAATCTGTGATGGAGTGATGCTACTAAGCAACACTAAGCAGACCGCCCATAAGCGCAATAGCCTAGTGCAAGTGCTGGAATCCCATACGGGCGCCGTTCCATGTCTCAGCTGTTCCACTTTCCATCCAGATACCTGGTTGTGGCCTGGGAAAGCAACAGAGGACAACCCAAAGCCTTAGGACCCTGCACTCGTGTGAGGGATTTGGGAGAAGCTCCTAGCTCCTAGCTCCTGGCTTCGGATCAGCTCAGGTCCGACCATTGCAGCTATGTGGGGAGTGAACAGAAGATCTTTCTCTCTCTCTCTTTTTCTCTGTGAATCTGCCTTTCCATCAAAAATAAACAAATTTTTAAAATAAAAAAGCCAATATTTATCTCTTTTCTATGCAAGTAAAATGGCAGTGTGACTAGAATAAAACAGCATTATTTTCAGAGAGAACAAATCCAACTGGTTAGTTTACTGAATGGTCAAGAAAATTAATTAGGTGTAAATACAGGTTTAGTTACTAAGAGAATATTCCCCATTATATCCCTGAATACAAGCTGTCTCCGTTCCAAAATAAGAGGAAAAATAAAAATAACTGCAGGAAAAGTCACCTTGGCTACTGTCAGAGGCAAGGTGCGCTACAGGGAGCAGCTGTGCAGAAAGAAAACGAGTCGGGCAAGCTGCCAGCAAGGTGGCCTGCAGGGCACAGGAGGGTGGCCCAGCTGGCTGGAGGGAGAACCTCTTGGCTACTAGTGGACGACTGCCAACTTGTTGAGGGTGCTTCCTGATAGAGTCCTTCATTTGCCATGTGAAGAATGACAGATTCAGAAAGGCTGCATGGCCAACGACCTCAGCACGGTGAGCATTCATCTTATACTGCTTCTGAGCGCTAGGAATCTGGTTGGCCTCCAGCTAGGCTGCTGAATATGGCCGACAGGGCTGCCATTATCTGAGGCTTTGACTGGGACTGGTTGTCTACTTCCGGGAGAGGTCCCTCATCAGACCAGTGGCCAGGAGGCCTTGATCCCTTACCACAGACTTAGCTACGTAACAGCTTGTGGCTTCCAATACCAGATTGGCGCACACAGAACAGTGAGATGCGAGCAGAGGGAGACGTCATGATGCTGTCGGTGACTTTGTCTCAGAAGCCACACTCTGCTACTCTACCACAGCTCACCAGTTAGATGTTCACATCATTGGAATCCACCTGAGAGGAGGCTGGTCAGAGCAGCGGAGAGTACTTGCAATATTTTCTGGTCACTACATCTAGGAAAGGCTAACTGGCAGCAGTGAGGCCAGAGCATCCCAAGCTCGACAGACACAGATGTCCCTAGACAGCTGTCAATCCGTGCATACAAACTGTGGGATGATGGAGCCAGAGAACTGAGCCACAAAAGGAGACAGGC